CATGGTTGAAACGAACAGTGGCAAGAAGTACATACCGATGTTGGATGCAGGGCGGCGGTCCTCGAGATAGCCGTATCCCTTGGCGCCGACGTGGCGGGGGATGCGGATGGATGCACCACGATTGGCAAGGCCCGAGGAGAACGTGCCGATGTGGCCGGTCTCATGGCGACCAGTGAGACGGAGGTCGTTGTCCTCGCCGTAGACAGCGATGTGCTCGGCATGACGCTTGGAGAGCTTCTCGATGGCAGCCTCGATGTGCTTCATGCCACCCTCCTCACGCATAGCCTTGGTCGAGTAGTTGGTGTGGCAGCCAGCGCCGTTCCAGTCACCCTGGAGCGGCTTGGGGTGGAAAGATACCTTGACACCCCACTGCTCGCAGATGCGTACGAGCAAGAAGCGCGCCATCCAGAGGTGGTCACCCATGCTGATACCCTCGCACGGGCCGACCTGGAACTCCCACTGAGAGGGCATGACCTCAGCGTTGATGCCAGATATGTTGACGCCGGAGTACAGGCATGCACGGTAGTGGGCCTCAATGATGTCGCGACCGAAAACCTTGCCAGTGCCTGTGGTGATAGCGGGTCAGTATTTTGCTCATAGCGAGGCAATCATGATGCAAGGGTATAGAGCGGGCGCATCCCATGACGCCAGGCGGCGCACTAGATGCGTCCCAGATTAGATAAGACGCTCACCGGCACCACAGTAGTAGGGACCCTGAGGGCCAGGGAAACCGCCCTTGGGCCAGCCAAAGGGAGAGCCATCAGCGTCGAAGAGGGTGTACTCTTGCTCGATACCGAACCAGGGAATGGTCTCCTTGGCGAGGTCCATGACCTTCTTGGCGTGGTGGCGGAAGTTGGTCATGTTGGGGGTTCCATCGCTGTTATACGTCTCGGCGAGGACGAGAATGTTGTCGCCGCCACGGAAGGGGTCCTTGAAGATCGCCGCAGGGCGAAGGTAGACGTCTGAGTCGTGGCCGGGAGCCTGGTTTGTCGACGAGCCGTCAAAGTCCCAGATGCGGAGCTTCTCGAAAGTCGCGTCGCCCTTGTTGACAGTCTACATGCCAGCGCTTGTCAGTAAGTATATAGCCATCATGCCCAGATCATCCACAGACCGTCGTCTTGGAACGCAAACCGCCATCGCCGTCGATCCAGACGTCTGTCCGAGATCGTGAGCAACCCGTTGGTCACGCGACGCAAGCACATACACTCAGCCTGGATCTTGTCGCCCTGGTCGAGCGCAAGGAAGGGGGCAAGGAGGGCGTTGTTGTAGGTGTAGGCGGACGACGACATGGTGGGCGGAGTCAAGTAGGGTCGACTCCTTGTCCGGCTTTTATCTATGCGCGCTAATTCCGCCTCTAATTGGCTGATCTGCATGCTTGCTCTATGACTTGCTTTCGGACGCTGCGGTCTCCTCCATTGCCCCATAGATTATTTGCTCACCGTCCCATCGTCTTGCATGAACTCAGGACTGTATCGCCACTTCGATAATTCGACGCCAGTACGCTCTCATCAGCCTTGCAGACTGGCGATGAAGTTTTCAAGTAGTTATCTCTTTCCGCCCCATCGGCGTACCGCTCCCGCTTCTGCTCGGCCGAGACTCGTCTGTATGGATAAATGTCGCGTCTAACGCAGACCTATCGACAATCGATTACTTCAGGGCCCTGAGGGCGCAGTCTGAGCATACGCTCCAGCGACAAACCAAGTACAGCCGAAGACGGATGTGGTCAAACGACATTGACCTATGGCCCCGGTCTGTTAAGCCTGCAACGGATCCTGTCGCGCAGAACGTACCACCCGGCCCGTAAGCTGTATGGCCAAGCCCTGATGCCCTATATCAAACGAAACAACTAGGCATGGCCTCGGTCCTGATCGATGTTCGCGCCGGGTTCAAGTGCGTTCTCGGACACTTGACCGCACGGAAACAGCTACACGGCATGCCGCAGTTTCCTCTGCTCACACTATCTCCAGACGACATCCGTTCCACAGACGTTTTCAAGGACATTGTGAGGAACAACATGCCCTTCTGCTCGATCTATCATATAGCCGTGTACGTAGACATTCACGATACGCGACCGCCTCGTCCATCACGGCGCGCCGAGCCGCGTTCCGAGCAAATCAAGCGCGTTTACGCGCCGCTCGTTTCTTCCGCCCGCTCGCCTTAACCGCCTTCGGCGCGTCGGATGCATCGGATTGCTCCGGCGTGTCCTCCATGCCCATCGACCCGGGCGTGTCCGGACGTTCATCCTGTGCCCCTTCCTGCGTCGCCGCGGCCGAAACGCCTTGGATGTGTTCGCGTACTACGGTGAAAGCCCGACGCGCGAGCGACACGGCCCATGTCCCCGAGATGGAGGGCGATGTTGCATGAGAGTTATCAAGCTGGGTTAGATGGCCACCATCTTCAACCTGTCCGGTACATTATCGGTAAATAATCGTCGAACATATGTGCTCAGGAGGAGAGGAGCATGCAGGGTGCGGGGCAGGTCAAACGGGTCCAGCGTTCAACCCGGACAGAACGCCCGCACCATGCACTGATAGATGAGTGGAATGAAGACACGTACAATGAACACGTCCCCATTGGGTTCCACAACCATATCAAGCGCCCGCCCCATAAGAACGTTGCCATCTTCATCGACTCTGGGAGGGCCACCGAGGGGAACCTTGATCTGTCGCGCGTCGTGATCAGCTCGAACGCAAGAAAGAGCGAATCATAATGCACATACCCTGCGACGATTGCTCAAGGGCGTTAGACGCTCTCCCCAGGCAAGTTTTCTTGCCTGAGAGGTTATGAGCTCAATACGCTCGATGTCGCGCGTGTAGTTCATCTTCTGGAAGACGTATTGCAGGATCGAGGAGAGTATTGTCAAAAACACAAGGACAGTCTGGACAGATGGTAGGTCAATATGACCGCATGACGGCGAGTCGAGGCATAACTCATACGCCGAGCCCCGGCCGGAAGCGCGAGTAGTAATAGCCAGTACCACGCCAACGTGGAACGCCATTCTTATAGAAAAAATCATAGCTACAGCGTACGTGAGTTGGGTCATGACATGTGGTATAATGAAACCACGCACCGTGCACGGCTTTCCTTCTCGCGCAGAATTTTACCGATGACACCAAGCCTGGCAAAACGTTCATGTGCATTCTTGACACCTGGGTTCTTGTCCGGGCTATTTCGCGAATCAACGATCAACAGGTACGAGATGGAGACATAGAGCCGAAGCGTGATATTATGTACCGCAGAGACGAGGGATACACTGCTCGGTCCCCGTCCGGAGAGGAAACGATTGAACGTACTGTAATTGCATGCTCAGCTTGCGGTAGGCCTTGCTGAGTTCTTCTCTTGAGGCCGTTGACGAAACGTTGAGCCATGAGTAGAATGTCGTGCCTTTGCCTTGCCGACGATGTTATTTCGTGGCACTAGATTTCCGGCGAAACGTACCTTCTGCACCCTCTAGGGCACTGACAAGGTCAAATATCTCATGATCTTCCTGCCGCTATAGTCAATATCCTATAGCATCACGCGCTGCGCGATGTGTTAACGCACCTTCGTCCATCTGCACCAAGGAGGAGACATATACTTCAGTCGGTGTACACAACTGGCTATAGGGCGGGACGCACGCAGCGGCAAAGGCCACAAGGGAAAGGAGTAGCACGCAGAAGAGCGCGCGCATGCCGCTCTGTATGTTTTGAGCGCGTAGCGAAGGGTCGAGCAGAAAGACGAGCAGGGCGGGAGAAGAGACACGGCATCAAGACGGCGGTGCGGAGGACGCGTGCACCGTGTCCACACCGGCTTATGGGTCCCTATAGGCGAGTGCAACGACTCCCGGAGCAATGCGATCGGCTGCCTTCTGCATCTCTCTTCTCCCTTCCACCGTTCCGCTTTGCGACCCCGGCCGTTCGTTATCAACGTGCATTTGCCGAATCAAGAACGCCTAGGTTGACGGCCATAGCATCCCGCTCATATAGAAAAGCAACGCACTCTATCCCTTTTCACGAATAATGGCTCCTCGACGCTGTCCAGTCTGTCATACGCGTGAATGGCGCAAAGAACCTGGTTCTGGCTTGCTAGTCTGTGATCTTGGCCACGTACTACGGGTACGAGGATAATCATTCTCACTATCACTCAACTCCGACGAGCGTATACGGTTTGTTCATAGGACTACATCGTCGAAGTGAACGACGCTGAAGCCACCGCCCACACAATGCGCAAGCGCACAATGAAGTCTAAACGCGCGAAGAAAGAGAGAGTCAGCCGTGCTAATCCATTGAGTGCGTATCAGCCTGCTTAGACGATCGCTTTCACTCCTCGCTCTGTTTGCTCATCTCACACATTTTACTGACCGCTCACTGACTGTATACCAGTATATCATGGTCCTCGTGCTCGCTTTCATCTATATCAGTGCATGCAACTTCTCCTTCGCAAGCAAATTTCGATCCTGACGGAGCTCTGGGAACTACCGCCAGAATTCGAGGTTCCTTCCGATGCGTTGTCCGGAGTATGCGTGCAGCTTATTCACAATGTAGATCATCTGTAGGGATATCTGGACCCTCCATATAGATCTGCTACCGTTTAATCCACCCCCGGAACCCATCTTGCATCTGGAAGACCTTGCCGGTGGGCCTTTAGACCGGTCGCGGTCACAGACACGAGACTCGGCTCGTGTCGACGACGAGACATGGAAGGCGGACAGTGATAAGGAGGACAGTGGCGGAGAGGATCAGCTCAAAGCCCGCTCCGCAAAGGCCACCAGCGATAGCGATGTTTCATCCGAAGACGAGGCTCATGATTGGCGCAAGAGGTCTGCATCTCCCATCGCCGAGCTTGAAGCGGCACTGGCGGAGCTGTCTGAACGCTCGTCATCATCATCTGGCTCTGAAGAAAACTTCTTTGGGCCTACCTCTGCGCCAATTGCACACGAGAAGAAGCACAAGCATACGTCCCTCGGTGCAGGCGAAGGGCCCTTGGGCACACTGGTCGTCTTGGTACTCGCGTGCTGGTTTCTTCGCCTCCCAGTCATGTATAAAGACATCATCAGCCTCGTCGAACGGTTCAAGGTCCCGTGGCTGGAATGCTTGCGCGAGATTCCGATGTCTATGCGAAGACACCTAAGCAAGTGGGCCATTTCTGCGCTCACGCCTGTTGTGGGTCTTCATTTCGCATGTAACAAACGTTAGGACGGTTTCACTTGAGCTCACATGTACGTCTAGCACCCGCCGACAGTGCACAAGTTACACAAGTACGCCGGCCGTCTAGAGAGAGCGCTCAATGCACGGTACGGCATCGTCCTACCCGAAGTCAATGCCGATCCATTGCTGTGGCGCTCCGTATGTGCGCTGGGTGGCACGCGTGAGTATGCAGATACACGATCTTCCATTGCTCGACTGAATGCCCCGCAGCAGTGCTTTATGAACTCACAAAGCGCACGGCGCGTATGCTCAATCTCCCCTTACGACTAGACGCACGCAGCGCACCAGGACCGGCCGACGCGCCTAAAGCTTTTCTGCGTGACACCGTCGCTCCCGAGCTCGCCTTACTGGGTGCCACCGTTGTCACCTTACAGCTCGTCTACGGCTTCGATGGCCAAGACCGGTGCGTGATGCGTAAAGTCTACTTGAAGTTCAAGCCTTGCCTGCATTGTTCTCTTCCCAGCCTCACGCCACATGCCATGACGCATGCGGCGATCGTGGCGTGGCGATCATTTTGTTCTGTTTCACCGATTTGACTTTTTTCCGACGTCAACTATTGACTTGTTGTGCAGGACTACGAGCGGGGATGATCCCGCCGTGGCGTTACCGTTCAAAGCGGACTTGTTAAGCTCGATCCGCACCGCGTTCGACGATGCCGAGCATAAACAGCTGTGGGTGTCGCGGTCTTTACTAGGAACCCGTCTGAGAAGCAAGGGCTGCTCAATGCGGTAGTCGCATCTTCGCATCTTCGGTGTGTGGATGGGAGCCCTGATCGGAGCTTCTCGTGTTGAATGTTTGTCGGATCGAGATGAACGTGTGCTCATGGGGTGCTGACAGGACCGAGCGCGGACTGGACATCGATGCGGACGATGGTGCGGCGCTGGACGCGTATGTTTCTTTTTGCGCGCGAGCGTTCGTGGGAGGTGCGTCGTCTGGTTATCTCGAGCGTGGCTGCGGTTGCGGTTAGGTCTGGGAGAAGGAAAAGCTAACGGTGTGCATGTGAATACAGAAGGTGCGGAGACGAAAGGAAGTCACCTCGTCGAGGCGTACTTCCCACTGGAACCGTGTCCCGCCACAGAGCCGGCGTGGACGGATTTTACCCCTGAATGGCCCGAAGGCGGGTTGTCGGCGACACCAGTGACGGAGGACAGCGGTGATGGGCAACATGTGGTCGCAGGCGGCGGGCGCCGTGATGTGGTTATTTATACGGCTGCAGACGTGCTGGGGGACGTCGGCGAGGAGTATGGGCTTATTGTGCGGCGGGCAGCGCAGTGGGGCGGTATGAAGGAAGGAGATGTACATGAGATTGTAGAGACGTATCTACGGCGGCTGGTGCGGCTGAGGGAACGATCGAAGCGGCAAAAGTAATCCGTGTTATGTCGTGATAGTTGTTTGTCGACGGCGATGATGTTGCGTCGCGTTGTCCGAACCTGATTCTGGCCTGCCATCTTGTCTCTCGACCGGTCCTTTTCTTCTCTAGCATCTTCTTGACTTTCCTTACCGCTCGTTTCTCTTTCTCAACCTCCATCCCTCCTCGCGAGGCCCACCATGCGCCGGATTGCTTCCGTCTTCAAGCGCGGCGACAAGAACAAGGACAAGGCCAAGGGTCCAACGCCGACGGAGCCGCCGCCGGGGCTGTCGCCCTCGCCCGCACCGTCGCCCTCGCGGCTGAGCACATTGCCGCGGTCGACGAGCAAGAAGGGACTCAGACTGCCGTCGTCCAGGATCACGGTCTCGACGGAACCACCGGCACTGCCTGTCTTGGATGCCCATCACTCGTCCTCGTCGTCCTCAACTGGTTCCGCTTCCCTGCAAACCCCGGACGACTCGCACTCGGATCGACACAGTCACCCCAAGGGCGGCCTCGCGTGGCTGCACTGGGCACAGCCGTCCCCCGCATCGAGCACGTCGCTCGGTCTGGGCTGGCCAGAGTCTGTTTCACCCTCGCGCTCGTCGCGGGCGGTGAGCGAGGACGATCTGTCTGAACACTCGTCGCTCGATGCGGAACTCGGCCCGGTCGAATACTTCGCGGCACTCACGTCCCAGCGCCTAGAGCAACCGTTCTCTGCGCCGCCGCTCCTGTCTTGCCCAGATTCACCACTCTTCCCACGTTCCGTCAACGCGCTCTCGACAGTAGACAGCGCTCCATCTTTGGCAGCGGACATGCACCGCGCACGTTTGCTAGCCCGTCTCAACAAACGTGATCTCTCACAGGCCGACCGTGTGGCGTTTCATGCCTTTGGGACGCGCCCCGCAGCGAAGGCCGTGCGAAGAAACAAGCGCCGGAGAGTCGACGAGGGTGCTCGCTACGATCTGTCGCAGCTCACCCACGCGTCACGCGGCCTCCGCCGCTGGATAGATCGACCCTACTTCGAAGAGCGCATGGCGTTATGGCAGCCGGATGTGGCGACAGGGAATATTCTGCAGACCGCCGTCAAGGGCTCAGGATTCGCCGTTTTCGCTCTCGACGTATCACCCACGCTCGAGTTTCTGGCGGCTGACGTTGATGCTGCTGATACTCCAACATTGACACCTTCGCCCTCATCATCATCGGCACCGGCAACACCTGCCAGCGTCTCAGGTAAGCGCCCAGCTCAAATGATCTCCGGCGCTTTTCAACTGACGGCCACGCAGTCCCGAACTTTCCTGTCCCGGACAAATATACACCCTACAAGGCGACGCCCTCGCCTCTTCGGCAGAACGCCAATACCTCAACGTCCTCTTTCATGACATTATCTCCTTCCGCCTCCGCCCCTGCTGCATCACCCGTCTCGTCTTCGCCGTCTCACGCAGAACCGCTTCCATCATCCTCGTCAACCAGCACCATCATGCCGTCAGTCGTCGTTCTCTCGCCAACGCCCGAACCCTCGCCCTCAAACACCAGCAAACGTGGTGTGCGCTTCACGCCTAGCGTCAAATCTGTGGACGCCATCCCGTCCGACTACGCCGAGCGAATGGCCAAGCAGAAGACCGAAAAGGCACGCTTCCTGCGCGAAGAGAAGGAGCGGCGGGAGCATGAAGCCGAGCGTTTGCGGCACGATGAAGAGCGCAAGCGATGGGAGGACGAACGTCGTGCATGGGAACGCGAAAAGAAAGCTATCGAGGAGGATCGCCGCCGCAAGGGTTACGCTGACGAGCTCGCCGCCGCAAGAGCCCGCCGAGAGAGCATGAACGTCCTGCCGACGCACCGCAGGGACACGGCCGCCGCGCTTACCGAGACCTACACGCGGCCGGCGTACGATGAGCGCCGCCAATCATTTGGGTCTACGCATAGCCCAAGCACTCATAGCCCCAGCTCCATGCGGTCACCCATGCCGCGTTCCGTTAGCAGCTCACGCGCTCCGTCGAGTGTAGCGAGCGGCGCTGTCGACGAGCGCTCCGCCCGAGCGTCTCGCCGGCAAAGCGCTGTGTCCGAGAGCTCCCTCCGCGGCAGCACATATGGTAGCTTCGGCTACCCCGTTCCGCCTGTCCCGCCTGTCCCGATGATGCCAGCGTACGGCGTGCCCATGGCCGTGCCGATGTTGGTCCCAGCTCAAGCGCAGATGATGATGGGTATGGGCCAGATGAATCTGGGCATGGGCATGGGCGTGGGCATGGTCCCGATGATGGGTCAGGAGATGGCCATGCCGCTCCTCCCGCCGAACGCGCCGTTCATGATGCACAGCAATGGTTCTCGTTCCCGTTCTACTTCTGCGCCCCGCAATGGCTCTCGTGAACGCGTGTCTTCCGGTGCCAGTCGCAATTACAGCAGCGGTACCCCGTCACCCAATGCCTCTTCCGAACGCCTCGCTGTCGCCAATCGCGGCCGCTCGCACAACCGCGCCAGTCTGACACCGAGTCCGCACGAATCGCAGACGCATGCCCAAGCCCGGTCGAGCAGTACGCATGGAGGGGCCCGCGTTTCCGCGTCTACGCACTCACATTCACATGCTCCGCGCCCACCAGTGCTACAACAGAACTCTTGGAGCGGCGTAGGTGTACACTCGCAACCTCCGCACTCGGCACCGGTACCTGCCCGGCGTTCGACGGCGTTCTCGTGAACGCACTCCCATGCTTAAGTGCCGCCCTTCTTGTTGCATGCATCGCTCTGCCTACCGTCGCCATTCCGCCGCGCTTATGACCACAACCTCTCTGCATAGGCTACCTAGCTAGCTGCTCTACCCCCGCTACGAACACTGTCCCCGAACTCTGGACCGAGAATCATTTTCACCCTCATATCGCTATTCTATCTTAGTATACCGTATTACCCCACCTCTCCCTGGTCCCTTTGGCCCCCTTCAGCATTCCCTTTCTAGTCATTCCTTCGCTCGCGCGCCGCTCTATTATACCAGATGCCCTGGTCCCCGGACGTTGTCCTCTGTTTCCTAGCGTCACACGGGCGTGCAAAGCCCCCTCCTGCCACTTCTCGTCCTTGCAATTAGTACCTCCACTTCGCCCCCGCTTCCTTGCACTGTCATTCCCCGGACGCCGGACTCTTGTCTCCCCTTTGCAACCTTTCACTTCACGACATCACTCTGCACGCATGTTTTGATATATACGGTATCGGTGTTCCTTCTGTTTTTCTTTCCTCCTGTTTTGTCCTCCATTGCTTTAGTCTTTGATTATCGCTCATCGTCGTATACCGCGGCCACTCGTCCACGTCAAACTGGTCCCACTTGCATTTGTCATTCCTCCTGTGTCCCTCGTCACTCTTGCCACGTTATATGTACATGTTCTCATTTGCGGCGTCAACATTGAGCGGAAGCGTCTCTGAATGAGCAGAACTTTGGCCGGTTGGTGTGGCCGTATTCATACTCTGGAACATTCAGCCCTGTTGCATTCAATACAGGCATTTGCCTTTACCTCCCGTGTTGAGTCTGCAGTTCTAGGCCATCACCTGTGTGAGCAACCTGTGCACGGCGTCAAGAGTGTGGTCGCAGCGTCCAGTGTATACAGAAGAAGCTATCAGAACATGTCCGCTCATATGTACCTGTATTAAACGAGAAGGAAGGTAGCACAACAAGCTGGTGGGCTTTGATGGGTTTTGTCAAGGCATCGCGTGATGGTAGTAAGCAATGGAAGGTCAAGAGTCATCTCATGATTGGAAATAACGGGGGCGGATCGGTAGGTGGGGTTTCGCAAATTCGGTCGGGAGAAGATATGGGGAATGGTCAAAGCTTCAGGTATTGTAGCCACGCCAGGAACCACGTAGGCGGCGAGCGAGTTGTAAGTCACGGGTCATAAGAGTCACGCGTTTAGCATGAATAGCGCATAAATTTCTGTGTCCCAACATGAGATCTTCAAAAGAATGCCTTGAATGACGGTGGACACGTACGCGTCTTCGAACAGATGGACAAGAAAAGCTTCGCTTGCTTCCTGAAGAGCGAGGATGGCTGAACTTTGCCACCGTAACATCGCTCCGCCTTCTTCATTGACATCCGTCGTCATCTCCATCGCGATTTCTCGTACCTTCAATCGTGAAATTCAGTCGACGTCACATAGCTTGTGATAGGGACATGTTTGGGATACTTACCACGCGCGCAAACGGCAGCCGTCGCAATAAGAGGTCTGTACTCTTCTGGTACTTTCGAATCTCCCGAAGTGCCACGGTGCCCGGCCTGTATCGATGTCGTCTGCGTTGCTGCTCGTCTGGGTCTGCGGCACCACTCGAGCGCCCTGTATGGTCATCAGCACAGTCAGCTCAGTTATACGGCCAGAGTGAGCTTTACGCACGATTCCGTGCGCGTGAAGATCCCTCTCCCCTGTCATCCTCGTCTTGGTCGCGTTCTCGTCGGGCAGCACGCGACGCAGCACTGGGCCGGGCCTTCGCGCGCTTCGGTGGTGGAGGGGGTGATTCTGAGCTCGCGACCGGCGCCTTACGCTTCTGAGCAGGGGCCATAAGAGTTCGTGGAAGTGCGTAGCGAAGGTGAACAGAAATTGAAGCACAGGACCTGAGGTCGTAGACCAAGAAAGAGCCACAAACGGCGCGTTCAACTTAGCAGCGTGACTATCGCGCTCACGTGTCGCATTTGATGGCCCCCACCTCGCGTGTGATAGGCGCGTCAAGCCGCAGCACCTCAGCGCGGCCTTTCAACTATGACCACCACCACCGCCACCACCATCATGACCAGCGAGAAGACTGAGACTCGGCCGATCTACAAGATCAAAAAGGTCGAGGGCTACTACCGCTACACGGACATCTGGTGGAAATGGTATGAAGAGGGCAAGTTGGCTGATGCGAGAATGACGGATTTGGATAGGCCAGAGTCGCTGCCCGAGGAAGAACGTTGGCAAGCGATCAAGTGCTTCTTTGCGCACGATGCACTTGTACACCCCGAACATCCCTTCAATCCCGGGCAGGAGGGCGCTGAGCTCTTTATCGGTTAGTGAAACCCGGTATATCTTCGTCGTGCTCGAACGCCAATCGACACTGTACATTCAGGCGTGTTGAAGACCGGAGAATCACGGCTTCTCTTCTCCTCCAAGCAGGTAGAGTATGCGCGCTATTGGATCTACGCGATGGGCCTCACGAAGGACCCCCTTCCCCTACCATGCTCGGACGTGCTCATCCTTCCCAACGAACTCAAACATGTCGGACGGATGTTCTATAAGACAGGAAGTGATCTTCGTGGCGCGCTCAAGGCTGGTGGATTGGATTGCCTACTCTGCTGACACGTTACTCATATGTATGCCGCTCGCAGGATCTCGAGAAGCTTAACAAGAAAGTCACTAAGGGCGGCATGGACTCGAGTCTCGCAAACCGCCGCGTCATCTTTGAGAACACACGAGCCCTCTGGGCAGAGAAGAAAGGGGCTTGGCTTGCTATCGACATCGAATCTTATGAGTATGAACACACGACGTTGACTGAGTTCGGCTGGTCGTTGCAACGATGGGAGAATGGCGAGCCAGTTCACGAGGATGGACATCTTTGTGTCAAGGAGGACTGGAGATTGCGGAATCGCAAATATGTACCCGACGCGCGAGAGGTAGGCTTTTATGCCCGTTTCAAAGGATGACATTCTCACCCTGACCTCAGAAATACGACTTCGGCGCTAGCCAAATCTTGTCGAGGGTCGACTTCAGGGCGAAGATCAGGTCGTTGATCGACTCTCTACATCAGTATGGAGCAGTATATCTAGTCTTTCACGACGTCGCCTCGGATATACAGTGAGGCTTCATACAATCCTGTCTGTTTATGGAGCCTAACATATTCAAGATATCTTACTGAAGGCAAATACCAAATTAATGCGAATCTCCCGAACATGTCTCCCATCCTACCTGACAAGTGCAAGGACGGGCTTTACTGTGTCGACACATGCGATCTCTGGGGAGCACTGGAGGGAATCCCACAGGATAAGCGCAAACTCGAACGCATTTGTCAAGAGCTAGGCCTTCACCCGAAGAACATGCATAATGCCGGCAATGACGCGTACTTTACGCTGGCCGCCCTACGCACAATGGCTGAAGGTCCTCCCCTTGATGCCCAGAGGCAGGCGCGATTCCCGGATAGAATCAAAGACCTCACGGTTGTCGAGCGCAACGAGGACGAAGATGTGCTCGATGATCTCGAGTTACCTATGATGAAGAATGTAGTCGCTGTTGGGGAGAACACGTCAATTAGCAGGACTCCTTAGTAGGCGGTGTTATAAGCTCTGTGTGCTTGCGTGCTTGCTGTATAACGCGAGACAGCTACACGTAGAGGGTGGTCTGCTAGGATGTATCTATGAAAATGTACTAGTATGCTAAATCGTGCAAACACCTCTTGCTTGACCTATGATGGGCCTTGCTCGATGCTCGTTCTTCTGTACATACTCATCTAGATGGACCCACAACGCCACCCATCGTACTACGCGCTGGGCCACAAGCGTGAACGAACATGTTGAGAACGCGTCTTGCCTTCGGACGACGACGATGAGCTTACGTCGCACCTTTTTCTATGCTTGTCCACCCCGGGCTTCTCTCTGGCAAATACATGCACGTTGCTTGCATCAACCTGCCGCGGCGTCCAGGACTGGTTCTCGCCGGTCCTCTGCATTCGCCATCATCGGTGCCTTCGGCGCCATGGCCGGTCTGACTGCCGCATATCTCTTCTGGCCCACGACGTACCGCGGCGCGCCGACTGTGGTGGCGCGGCCATTGTCGCCAAGACATTTTACGCCGCTCACAGTCACCGCTTCTAAAGATGTCGGACCAAATCTCAAGCTCATAACGCTGTATGTGCCGCCAGAGTCACGACCAGACCCGACAAGCCCCGAGGATCCCTTTGCATTGTGCCCAATATGGTCTCTATTCGTCAAAGACGATGATCTGCAGGTCGAACGGCCATATACTCCCTTGGAAGGCATTGACACAGAGGGTAATGTCAAGCTCTGGGTGAAACGCTATCCGCGGGGCGAAGTGGCGCGTTGGCTACATGCAAAACGCCCAGGCGACATCATCGAAGTGCGCGGGCCGCACAGAACTCTACAGTTGGATGGAATGGATCGGGACGAGGTTGTGATGGTGTGTGCCAGCGTATTGTACTCTGCGGAAGTAATTGATATAGCCTGGCAAGATTTCAGGTGGCACGGGATATGCGCCCTTTCACCAACTTCTGCATGATAGGCTACTCCTGAATCAACCGGACAGCTCGAGTAACCTCCGTCTGACGCTTCTACATGGCTCAAGAAGCATCGAAGAGCTCCCGCCGCCAGAATACCTCGACCCATTGATCGAATATGCCGAGAAATACCCGGATCGTTTAACAATTCACCTTTTCGTCGACGAGCCTCCTGCGAGAAGTCTGACAAGAAACTACGTCGTTACTCACGGGCGGATTGATACGCAGGCCATACGTGACCGCCTTAGTTTGCCGGATACCAAACCCCCATCTTGGTGGGCTAGGTTCTGGGGAGGCTCGGCGTCCGACCCATGTCGCGCAGGACGACCCTTCAAGCGCGATGGAAAGATCTTGTTCGCAGTTTGTGGACCTGAACCGTGAGGACGAGTATTATCCCTGTGACTTCTGCTAACATTGCACATGGATTAGGATGATCGCTGCTGTCGCAGGACCGTATGGTAGGAACTATTCGCAGGGCTCTGTCGGAGGGGCTTTGGCGGAATTGGGCTTCAAGTCAGGAGAAGTGTACAAGCTCTAAGATTGCGGCCATCTCAGATGGCGCTTGAATCGCTTGGGACTTTGAGCTACAAGTGTTGTATACCGTCATATACCTTGATCCAACGAGTCAATTCTCTATATCAATCTTTAGGCTCATACGATTTGCTATCTCCCTTTCGAATAAAGTCTCAAAGCCGATAAGTACCGTGTGGCTGGTCAGCGCAGACCCTGCGCTGTATAGCTCCACGTGCAAGTGAGAGCGCGCTAACGTGACTGGAACTTCAACCACCACCACCACCACCACCACCACCGACGACGCGAGCCTGACCATAGCTACCGTCCGGTGTCAAGTCTACTGCTCGATGTCCTCTGTCACTGCGTCCTCACAACACACGTACGAGGTGTCGCTGTCAGGAAGCTTCCAGCCGAAAGACTTGCAGGCTATTCTCCATCGCGTCGCCTTGCACTCCGAATCCTCTGGTACGATACACACAAGAGAAGTTGTATTCGAACCGTTAGATAGACCCTCAGAGCCCATCTTGCTACGGGCTCGACGCGAGATGCTTGAGCCCGACTCGCCGTGGTGCGTAGGCGATGTAACGGCGAGGACTATCGACTGAGGGAGCCAGAGCAGGGTGTTGTACTCATATCTAACTCCCGAATCCGTTCGCGTGCATCCCGAGGCCACCGTACGTCCGTGGGCAGTCGTGGACGTCATAGGAGATGCACTGGGATTTGCATCAGTGCTAGGATACAGGTCTGTGACAGTTGCGCGTCACAGTATCAATACTCCTATTGATGACAACAGCGATGTAGACGCACGTCTCAACTGTACAAGAAAGGCTACGTCTTTCGACGCGGGAGCCTGCTCATACAGATCTTCCAGCACGAGATGGTGTGTTTGATGCTGGGCTTTCCAGTGTACCTAGCTCACAGCTCTCCAGGCGGACTTGAAGACGCAAAAACCTATACCTGCCCATTCAGAGGCGACGTGGGAGGTGGAGGTACGAACAGCCGCTCCGATCCGCAATACTCCCGACGCACCTCTATCTCGCACCATCGATACTGTGCTGGAGGTGCAACTGCTCATGAAAGGTCTATTGGATCTCCGTCGTGAAGATGCTTAGAATGCGGTTGTGGGTTGTGCTGTATCGGTTACGATACCATGGGTACCATAATAACGCGATTGGCTAGGTCCCAAGGACAGTATCATGCACGCATGAGAGCTCTCACTAAAATGATTTTGTTCACTTTCAACATGTACCAGTAAACCCCTAATGATATTCCACGTGTGGAAGTTAACATCCATGTTATCGTCCCTAGCTACGTCGAAACTGTGGATGGTGACATGACCCCAATAACTCATGCAGTATGAATGGGACACGAATCGCGAAGGGTGGTTCGAAGCGGCGAGACACAGATCATCTATCCCTCTGCATCTGAGCCCCAGTCAACATCGACACTCTGTGTGACTCCCTGCTGGTGGACGATATCCAGCAGAGCAGCATAGTCGACAGGTCCTGGAAGCTCCCCACCCTCCTCTCCCCCAGTGCCCGGATCCGAGAATGTCCGCACGTCTTCTTCCGCCTCTCCTTCCGCCTCGTCCTGCACTCCGTCTACATCTCCATCGTCCCCACGCGATTCCGCGTCCTCTTCATCCACATACTCTCCTATTTCTCCCAAAGATATGTCAAACCCTTGTCCAACTTCCTGCTCTTGATCGTCTCCCTCGCTATCGCTGCCATACGCCCCTACGAGTGCCCCGATAGCTTTCCGTCCTCCCTTGACATCAATTTTTCGCCTCTTCTGCGGTCTTCCCTCTAGTTCGTTCCCAGCGGGGCGCTCCGGCATCGCGCCTGATTCGCACACCTCGAGAGTTGGGAACTCAACGAATGTTTGACCCTTGAGAATACGCGAGAGCGGAGTCTGACCGTCGACCATAACATACCGGTCTTCGGCTCCTGACACGGAGGTGTAGGGATTATGTGTCGCGCGTATGAAGAATGTCGGCAGTTCAAATGCATCTGGTACGCCTGGGTGCGGAAGCACGAGCGGGGCGAGCCAGGGGGGTAACACATCGGCGCTATTGTCGTCTGTATCCATCGGACGGCCCTTCTTGCTTTTCTTCCTGGAAGAGCCGCGTCCTGGTGGTTTCGTGCGATCTATCATGTGCGCCTGAAGCAAAGCCAAGGGAGTTGCGGTAAGCGGACAGCGATGAATAAGCAATGCATGCGGCATTGTATCCGAATTGCCCTCGGTCGTAGCGTCGGCAGGAGTGTGTAAACGGAATTCAATGGTCAGGAGCGCCGTTTGGTTTCTACACGAGCGATCAGGTTCATGATACACTTGAAGCAATGACGGTGCATACTTGAAGTCCCACGTAGACTGATTGAGCGTGCGGCGATGCATTCCTGGCGGTAGCATCTCAACTTCTATATCCCGTGCCTCAAGTTGCAGTTTGAGCACATCGCGCTTGCTATTCGGCCTTCCCCTCCCGACACCTCCAGCACCGCCCCTTCCCCGCCCTCGCCCTCTCCCACGCATTCCCGTAGGGGCGATAGTAGCAGAAGTGGAAGCGAGCCCGTTACGCGCGATCTCGCGGCCAAAGTCTTCAACGGCGCGTCCGACGTCTTCGAGGAAAACATAGTCGTCCATGAGGGCGCCAAGGCCATATGCATTCATGGGCACGTACGCAGCGCGATCCCGCGCGCCTGAGCAACCATTTTGGGTTTTATGTGCGGACGAGCAAGCAAGAGAGCAGGTCCGCGTATGGCAGCGCGGACACGTGTATTTTGCAGATGTAGCGGCGCAGATTGTACATGGTACATCGCGAGAGATGATGGAAGACTCGGCGGTCGACGGTCCTGCAGCTCCGGGGACGGCCATGAGGGTATGGGTGAGGTCTTCTATGTTCGCATGTCGGGAGTGATCATTCAAAACGTTCAGCAGTCTGGGGTCAAGCGCATTGACACGTTCTAAAATCGGAATTTAAAGGCGCGGCCCGAGTCTTACACTCTCGGCATGTACTGTAACCCCGGAGCTGTAGGTTACCATCGTCGCGTTGAAGTCTGTGGAAGTGCCTGGTCGAACCTGCCAGGCACCAATAGTAACTACGATAGAAGATTTTCGGCAGACGCCGACAGGACCATCTCCGATTTCGCAATTCGTCAAATTCGACCCCGCATTTCCCTCCGACCTCCATCGTCATGACTCGCGGCCGCAAGAAAGACCATACGCTACCAGAGAGCCGTACTTTGGCCGCGCAGCGTAACTACAGAGACCGCAAAGCCAAATATGTCGCGGATCTTGAGCGACGATGCGCGGTGGCAGAGGCGGAAATAGTCCGCCTACGAGAGGAGCTCGCGGAAGCACGAGGCATTCAAGATGACACTTCAATTCTGGCCACTCAGGAGGCCCATCAACTGGTCTGTTGCCCTCTCAAACGCGCTGATGATACGGCAAACTGATTGATGTGTCCTGAAACTAGTTGCGAGGCTGCTCAGAGATGATAGGGCATCTCTCTTCAACACAGCAAGCGTTAGTCCGCTTTCAAGAGCGCTTTATACGCACTGGGCGCACCAACCAATCCCAGTAAGATACAATTCTACACATGGCCATCTGGCATCTGAAGTCGAACTCGTCTTACAGTAGTCTGTCCTCGCCGATCACGCAACCTTCCAATCTCGATCTCCTTATGACTGCTGTCCTTTCGCAAGCGCGACATCCCGACCCCGCGATTCAAGACACCACTCGCGCAGCCGATTATTCGAATAGTACGACCGTATCTGATAACCTGCATAGAATAGAAGGTACAGACGTGCAGGGCGAGTCGGGGTCAGAATGTTGTGGCGGTTTCATCGACTGCTCACAGCTTCCATCGGAGAATATAATCATTTGACCTTCTCGACGGTATTCCTGAAAGCCTTCAGTGTGCTGCTCCGCTAATGAATAGATGTGCACGACTGCACCTTTCACTGTCCGAGTAAAGCGCCGGGTCAACATCGCTTCGCCATTTCAGAGCCGTACGAAGGTACAATGCTACCCAAGTGAGTGCCAACAGCACCGGTACCTCGACGAGCGGACCGATGGTGGCTGCAAGAGCTTGCCGAGAGTCTACACCATATACGGCAATGGCAACGGCGATTGCGAGCTCCTTTTGGAGTTACACAAATATGAGCCCACTGGAGAGACGGGGAATACAGCCAAGCACTCACGAAGTTGTTGCTTCCAGCTGTGAAGCTCTGCACGACAGCCATATCATAAGTAAAGCTGCGTCCACACCTGCACCTTGTGTTCAGCCGGTACGACCACCAAAACGCGATTGTCCACATGATGATGAAGTAGAGGACAAGTGGCACCATCGTCCTGAAAACCGGACCAAGATTGTGAAGGATCTCGTGGCCCTGATATGCTGTGTACTGTGTGAGAACTTCAAGCGGCGTGCCATACCCAAGCAGCATTCTTACCGAACATCACGATGATAGTGTACAATAGACCGAGGAGCGACAGTAGTCCGAATATCGGCAGGAAGCGGCGCTCCAAGAAGTCCTTACCAGCCAGGCTCCACACAACATAGCGCGTCGTGCATCCAGCAACCAGCGGTATGCCTAGGTACTGATCCCCTCGTGAGTGGGAGACACGCGCATAAAGGGATGAAGAAGTACGATGACCACAGAGATAGCAACGTTTCCGTACGTCACTTTTAGTGCCGTCTCGTCGTTGCCGATGATGTTTATGAACAGAACGGCGAGAGGGGAATAGAGGACAATCTGGAGCAGGGAGTTTGTGATGACCAGAATTGCGCAGTATTCGACGTCGCCTTGGGAAAGCCCGACCCATATCATGACCATGGCGATGCACCGCGCAAGACCGACCAGTATGATACCCGTCCTATACTCAGGGAGATCGGGAAGCGTGGCCCACGCGAGTCCGAGCATTAGGAAAGGCCCGACGATCCAGTTCAGGAAGAGGGAGATGAAGATATGCAGCCAATTATGCCAGGTCATAAAGAGCGACGGTAGTGCCTCATAGTGCACCTTGGTTAAGATTGGCCACATCATGACTATGAGTCCGACTGCTATCGCTATCTCGGACAGTCAGCTTTATCGCTCAACAATGAAAGCACAGTGCGTACGAACGTGCAGATACACCACGGAATTGAACGAGGTCGAAGGCCTGCTGCACCCCAGGAACAAACTCGCCAATGATGACGCCGACTATCATAGAAAGCAGTATAGCGGGCGTGAGTAGCCGGTCCGTCCAGCTCAGTTCCATGAATGCCCGATTAAGTATGGTGATACGGCGGCTCTTCAAAGCAGTCACCGGCTGCCCAGGCTGAGTCCCGTCGCCATGGACTGTTTCCTCGCGTGGTAGCTCCATGACAGCAACTGGGAGAGAGCAGGCAAGCAGAGTAACATCTTGCGAGGACCGACCATGATGGTTTTGTGCGAGAAGCGCCGCCAACTTCAAATTCGTCAAATTCGGCGTAACGGGCCGGACATCGACGCGCTCAGACGTCGAGTTTGCTCTCAGTACCAGTCTCGACCTAAACTCGGCCGCGGAATCGACACCCTGAACTCCCTGATAATCATGCATTGTCAGATATGATGCCTTCTGTGACTGTAGCTGCCCGCCGACTGTGACCTGGTCTGCATGTCAAACTCAAATGGCATATATCTTTGACTACAGACGGATGATTTATGCGTTACCTATCGAATCCTTTATCATACGAGTAGTTGTCAAGTTCAGCGCGGCGCATGGCATATCTCGAGCTTGGGCATGTATTGACGGTTGTCCTCGTTGGTGCTGTGGTCAGATGCAGCAGTGTCGTGATACTGCTAAACCTGACTTGAAGGCTCTGGAGCCACTTAGACAGTGACACGCTGTGTAGGATTCGTTGCTCGAGAAGGAAGATACAATTTTTCAGCGGACAGGCGGGGAACAATCGTGCGGCGAGATAACTACAATGTACAGCACACAGAGGCGTGAGAGCGGAGGTGAGAGTGGGAGTAAGCAGGGTCAAGGTAGTCTGGAGTCGCGTGTGATGCGGTCGTATGCGTGAGTATGAAGTATGAAATGCGGGATTAAATGTCATCCATCCCGAAGTCAATCTCAACTTTCTCGCCGGGCTTGAAAGCAGGAAGACCTGACGAACGATCTGTAAGTATGATAGAAATCAAGAGCGAGCGGTAAGACATTTGACATACCAAGATAGGGGCAGCTCGCGCAGCGGAAAGCATCGCCGAGGAAACAGCTGCCACATGAGCTTGTCGCCTTGGGTGCAGCCTTAGCGGCAGCGAGCAGCCGCTCCTTCTCCTCGCCCTGTACAGCACGTGCGACGCCATCAATCTGGCCGTCGAGCAGGACGACTGGCGCACTCTTCCTCTCCTCCTCTTCAAGCTCTGCAAGACCACAGGTGCAACCCTTGCATGCCCGCTTCCGCCTCGGAGCACCGCGAACGGCAGGTTCACATCCAGCGGGCCGGGCGCGGTCTGCCTCGGTCAAGAGCGCATCAGGGTCGATCGTCGGTGTGCCGGGGGCGGAGAGTGTCCAGAGCGCCTTCTTGCTCGCGGACTTGCGTGCCTTGAGACTGAGAGCGGCACCAGGGGCGTGCGAAGGTTTCTGTGCGACGAATGGGTGAGAGGAGAGGACGACGAAGCCGGCGAGAGTCAATTCCTGCTGGGGCGCGAGTTGGAGGGGGAGATTGAGGAGGTGCAGCGTGCCGAGGGGGGCGAGGCCGGCATGGAGCTGGGTCAGCAGGTTGGCCAGGTTCGGCCGCAGGGCCTCGTATTCGTCCCCGGCGATGGCAACGTGCACGCTCGAATACGCTCCGGGGCCCAACGTGGCCGCGTTGTCGACCAGTCGGTCCAGCATCTGGCGCTCCACATTCCGTCCGCCCTCGGCCTCCAACTCGGACACGAGCCGCTGATACTGCCCATCTTGCGCAGTCTTCAGCGAGCCAATCGTCAGTGCGATCCCTGTCGCCTTCTTGACAGGCCCATCGGCGGGCAGAATCGGCGAGTCGTAGACAGCGACGGGAGCCATGGTGGTGGTGAAAACAGAGCCGGGCTCAAACTTGCTCAACTTACTAAACTAGTCGTCCCGCGCCATAACCATATTACTGTACCGCCCAATCGGATCTCGGGCCCGATCGCATTCCCGTCCTTCGCGCCAATCCGATCCGCCCAATATCTTATCTGACTACGACGGCATTTCACGCGCTGAGAAAGCTTCTTGAAAGTGCACACTAGCGTGCTAGCAAGGCACACGGCACGAGGCCGCTGGGCTGGCATACCCAGATTCACACCCACGCGACGGAAGTCCAGCGGAAGCCTCGGTACATACCTAGTTATCGCCGACTACCTGTAGTCGTAGGCGCTGGCCGATAGTTGCATTTCTTCACGGTCGGCTTGCCATAATCTCTCTCAGACCACCATGTCCATGTTCGCCTCAGTCTCACATCCGTCGGAGATGGACGCGCGTCCTGCAACTGACGTTCAGGTCACTCCCGACCTGACGCCACAGCTATCCGTCGAGCAGCATTGCCATACACTGCACACTCGCCGGCTCGATGGAATAAGCCCACGGGCTCCATTGCGGACCTTTCTTACAGACTACAGGCGCTCATCACTATTACGCCGACCGACTCGCACCCGAATTAGCCTCTAGAGAAAACACCGAATCGCGTCATTGACTCTCAGAAGGGCTTCATTGTGCACCACTGCGCTAGCATTTCCAAAAAGACCAAGCGATGCAAAGATCTGGCAACAACGCTCATTGCTAGAGGATCGATGCTGAATACACACTCAGAACCGTGGGGTGTGTGCAGAGCTTTTGGCTCAACCCGCGCGCCGCGGTCCGACAAGGGCTTACCGCACCCCCACCCCTCGCTTCAGCAGCCTTTACGGTTGACAGAGTACCCTATCGGGATAGCCATAGACCTTCCACGGCATTCCCGGACGATGCTCGACACGATAAAGCTCAGGAGGTATTTTCCGCGATTTTCCGATCTTTTCTCACGCCTCGGCCGCAGGGTATCACATCTCTCAATTTATTATTATGGCCCTTACGATGCTCGTCCCACCGTGCATCCCCATACCCTAGTGAGGTTCTATGTGTGGGTACTGTAATTGCACAGAGTAGATATAGGGAAGAACTCGTATACATAGGATGTCAGAAGCATACAGCATAAGGTCGTCGGAATTCAAGTATCTGCACGGAAGAAAGCAAGATTTTAGCCAGAGACAGAACTCCAAGCGAACCGCTAGTGACACGTAGCCTCGTAACCCGTTCGCTATCTGAGCGTGAGGAGGGGAGCACCTGGCGAGCACCCCCTCTTGCGGCAGCGTGTCTGGTAACGACACGGATGCGCGTGACGTCGCGCGCGGGCTCTTCGCTTCAACGTTACGTTCAAACCTCGCGCAGACGCCAACGCCGTCGACTCGGCTCGCCTTGTCCTTGTTCCCCACAACGTCTGCTGACGACTTCGAAGATCCTACTACGATCCTGCCAGGCTTCACGTCCCACCTATCCCAGGGTCATATCCGAGAGTGCCGCCTTAAAACGACACTCGCAAACCTGAGACTGACGCACTGCGACACGCCCCTTTACGCGCAATGACCGTCTTATTCAAACGTATCCGCTCCACGTACCTCGGTACGTTGACCTTGCTACTTTCCACGAAGGAGGTACTCATGAAGATGGAGGAATATTATTTGTGTTCACGGCTGCAGTCCTAGGACTCTCTGCGTACTTTGCGCACATATATCTTCCGGATGAGAAGCACGGTGCGCCCTCGATACACCATTCAGAAGCACCCGGGCTGACACTCTGCACTAGGAGGCTTTGTGATATACGCCATAGTCATACCGGCTTTGACGATAGTGTTTGGTCTGATTCAGTATGTGCCAACGCCTAACCTCTTATCGGTCACTCAGGCTCACGACAGTGTAGAATGTTTTGGGCGCAACCTCGCACAGAGGTCGTGTTTCTGTTCGTGGCGGGGATACTCTGGTTAAGTACGTACTGTGAACCACCGCTCGTTGCGCTCGTCTAATATGTCTGCACAGCCCAGGCCGCATGGGCAACGTGCGTGCAAAACGTGTTCCACTCGTGCCGGGAAATTGATTTAAACCAGTGACCAGTCCACGAATGCAGAGTGCTTTGCGCTAGGCAACTCGCAAACTCAAACACAACACGGGCTTGGTGAGTAGTCAAGTCACCTTCAAAAGCGACATATCAACCTCTTGTCACAGTGTCGTCCAGATCAATATGCTATGAAACTAAGGTTGTTGAAGCCTTCTCCTGGACGATCTTCCTGACGCGTACGCCACATCGTTTCAATAGATTGACTTTGGTTAACCCAGAATTTAGTCGCAATAGCGTTCGTCTTGACTATCACTCTCGCCTCACAATCCAAGGTCCTCGGTCATCCCGACATCTGGTCAGAGCCCATCGACAACTTGCCATGGTTTGGCGAACTGCCTGGTTACCCAGGGCAACGCTGGTTCGGAAGCGACTTTCACCGCTTTCACCATCGGTTTGGTTATGGCGGATCCGCTCCGGTGCCCATGGCGCAACCCGGCGGCGCCATTGTTAACATTGGAGGGTAAGGCAGCTCTGTCATTCGCGTGATGTCCTTTATACTCACCTATCCTCGGCAGTCAATCATATCATCAGCAAGCTGGCCACTCGCTCATCATCAGACCGGACCCCAACGGCGGTCCTCCTCAGGTCGAACAGGTTCCAGGCTATTACCAGGCGGCATAATTTTCATAGTCGCTTTTCACATCCGTCTATCGGGTCCGCTGTACTTAACATCTTCTCTCTGCTCTGATGCAACTGATATCCCATGTCTTCTACTGTACCTGTCTTGGGCTCTCAGAGCATCTGTTCGGAGGATGTACGCGGACGAATCCGCATCTACATGACATACCCACGCGCACGCCTCGAGGCTGCCTGCGCGTCCTGATAAAGCTGCATTGCTCCCTCCCTCGCCACCGATCTTCCTTCTGCCCACAACCCTGCTGCCAGAGCGTTCCATCTGCTTGCTTTCATATGAGTCTATTCTCGGAGAACTTCCGGCGCAGCTTCACGCTCGGTATGTTCCTCCGCAGTTACTGCTCTCCGTCATGCCGACGTTTATATCCATCCTGAAGGTGCAATCGCTGTTGTTTCGGCTCATGCGCTCGCTAAGATGATACCGAACTCACTACGTACGTGCGACAAGGAATGTTCGACTTCGTATCTGACAATCTGCAGAGGCCTATGCTCTTGTGCAGACGGCTATCGCAATGCTCTCACTATCCGCGCTCATGTTGTTGTCCGTCAAATCCACGATCTGTCGCACTCACATTTGGCGCCTGACCGTCGGAATTCGATAGCGTATACACTCACCATAGAGCTGGCGGCAACCTCATCACAATCCGCAATGAAGAACACGCATTGATATTGGCGTTCGGAACCTTCTGGTTCGGTCAGTTCTTTGTTATCCGATGCATCCCTTAACTCGATGCTGAACCGGGCACAAACAGCAATGCTCATTCTTTGGCGGGCTATGCGCCAAAGTGGCACCATTACGCAGGCCGTGGCTGAGGTCGCAAGTACGGCGGCTCCTGGAAGGGAAGTGGCAGGCGGGATGCAGCGAGGCGCGGGCTACGGCTCAGGCGCATATCCGCGCGGTCCGTGGGGAGACCATTGGCCATGCTCGCGCAACGATATGCATTGCATTGTCGAAGAGTGGTCATGGTACTGAGCAGCGATCTATTGTCATTGGTGTGGCATAATGTGGCCCGGGTGGTCCTGTCTGATTATTGCAATATTTTGTGCGGACTTTCCCATGTGGGACCAAGCTATCCACCGTATCTTTGCTCAAATATATACCGTCTCATTATACATACCATCTCATAAGAAGGCGATGACCGCGGATGTCTCCCGTCATAAGTAGTTCAGGATGGCCGAACAGGCCCAACATGGTAGCACGGGAGGCGGGCCGAGATCCAGACGCAGCGGCCGGCGGATGCGGTTCAGCCGCCTCGACTCGACCTCATACCACCACGTTCCCCGCCTTTATACCCGCCCTTGTCAGACATCTCCGCATACTTCATCATGATGAGTGGGATATGCACAAGTGTTACCCCTCTATGCTCATTTTGTGCGCGGTGATCACAGCTCGGCCAACCCTAAGCGGCGCATCGAGACGGATGTCATGAAGCTGTACGCTCTGAGTTCGCACGCCGGGCTCTGAGAGCTGATCGCCACCTTTAGGCTCATGTCCGACTTTGAGGTCAGCCTTGTGAACGATAGCATGCAGGAGTTTTATGTGCGCTTCCATGGGCCCACAGAGAGTACGTCGTGTGCACTGAGGCCATCCGCGCTGGCTGACAATAGGCATTCTCACAGCCCCATTCGCCGGCGGTGTCTGGAAGATTCATGTGGAATTACCTGACCAATACCCATTCAAATCCCCCAGCATCGGGTTCATGAACAAGATCTTCCACCCGAATATCGATGAACTGTAACGTCTCCTTATTTCTCGACTCGCCTACCCTAATGTGGTACTAGGAGCGGTTCTGTTTGCCTGGATGTGATCAATCAAACATGGTCGCCAATGTACGGTGAGTCGTCACGGAGGATGCGCGAGTTTCCCGCAGACCGCTGAGAGACTGACGAATGGATAAAGATATGATCAATATCTTTGAGATGTTTTTGCCTCAGCTTCTGCGCTATCCCAATCCGGCAGACCCTCTCAATGGTGAAGCGGCTGCATTACTCATGCGGCATCCAAAGGAATATGAAGCAAAGGTCAAGGGTGCGTGCTAGTTGCTACGCTCAATTGACTCTTGTCGTGTTGACCAGATATTAGAGTACGTGCAGCGGTGGGCGACGAAGGAGGCGGCGGATCATGCCGCAGATGGCAAAGGGAACATTAGCAAAGATGAAGAGGAGGACGCCGAGGAGGTCATGAGCGACGTTGGTAGCATATCAGATGACGATGCTTGAAGGCCTTTGTGTGCTCTAACTCTCACGATACGACAGACTCCAGACTCCGGCGTCACCAGCATTTCCCCACCATGTACTATATCCCATCTACTTAGCTTCGGCCCACTTCCCCCTCACCACCGATATCCCTGCTTTCACGCTTTGTATGTACAACGGATCTTCAACTTGTGGACAATCTCAATAAAACGTGATAAATTATTATACACGTGCGACAGGAACCGATAACATGAACACTAGCGAGAAAAGACAGCATGAGAAGATAGGGGCACTAGGCCAGCGACGCGTCCGGAGTCGGCGTCGCGTCCCCTGCATCCACGGGCATGGGCTCTACGGGCTCAGGAGGTACGAGTGCATCGATACTCTTTTGTGTATCAAGCAGAGACTGGATAAGCGTAAGCGATAGAAACATAAGGCGAGTGTAATGGGAAACGCGCCTTCATGACTTGGTCGACGAGTGTTTGCAGCTTATCTGCAGCTGCAGTCTGGTCTTTTGTCTCTTTCAGAAGCTCGTCGCGTTCGGCGGTTAGTGCATTCCAGCGTCCCTCCAACCTAGTTCACCCACTCATGAGTACGGATAGAAGTACGAGTGCGACATTACGGCCTACTTCTGCTGAGACTCAAGCTCATATGCGAGGCGGGCTTTCATGAGCTCGTGCCTGTCTGCGAGAACGCCCTCCGTGCGCGCATTCTCTGGAGCGAGAATCATGAAGTCTTCCAGGGAGTGCATGGGAATGTCCTGATAAATCGAGCTAGGGCGAGTTTCAATGACCGGTTCCCATCGGTCATGCACTGAGAATGCACCCACGCGAATTGGCGGCATTTCTCGATCTCGCGCTCAAGGTGGCGCTTCTCATAGAGAAGGTTCTGTAAGCCAAGGTGAGTCTGGTTCACGGTGGTGCGAGCTGCGGCGGTGGCAAGCTTATGCTCCTTTGTTGCCGCATTTGCCTGCCTATTAAGCGCCTTGAGTCGGGCAAGCAGAGCATAGCCGCGGACGTTCAGTGCAGCTGGGTCCTCGTTCACAGGATCAGCCTCCACAAGTTCACGGATGCGGTCAAGGACTGCGTCCGGCGAGGGCGCTGCGGCCACCATGATGGTACAAACAGAACTACGCAAGCGCCGCACACCGCCGAACTCGCCGGCCGGGTGGCGGGCCGGCGCGCCTACGACTGACTATGTCAGCCACTCGCCTTCGATTTCCCTTCACCCATTACCGCCATGTCTACCCCCCTTCACGAGCAGGAACTCAAAGACAACACTATCGTCGTCGGTAAGCACATCGTCTTGGTGTGCCGGTCGTTGGCTAACCCGATCGACCAGTATTCGGCGCATCTGGCGACTTGGCCAAGAAGAAGGTGCGGGTTAACGCCGTCTTCGGACACTCTCATCTAAGCGCGCACATCGCCAGACGTTCCCCGCTCTCTTCGGCCTTTATCGCGACGATTTTTTGCCGAGAGATGTCAAGATCGTCGGCTATGCGCGGACAAAGATGGACGATGCCGAGTTCCACAAGCGCACGACCCAGTACATCAAGAACCCGGACAACGACGAGACGATAGCGGCCAAGATCGAGGAGTTCAAGAAGCTGAGCTCCTATGTCGCGGGCGGTTACGAGGATAAAGAGTCGTTTGATAATTTGGAGAAGCACCTCGCCGAGATCGAATCGAAGTACCCTAGCGGCAGCCAAAGGAACCGCGTCTTCTACCTCGCTCTTCCGCCTTCTGTCTTCATTCCTGTGGCTGCCAATGTCAAGGCTGCCAACTACTCGAAGGACTCTGTCAACCGTATCATCGTTGAGAAGCCTTTCGGCAAGGATCTTGACTCATCCCGCGAACTCCTAGGCGCCCTAAAGCAGCACTGGTCAGAGCCTGAGACGTTCCGTATCGACCACTACCTGGGCAAAGAGATGGTTAAGAACATACTTGTTCTCCGCTTTGCCAACATCGCCATCTCAGCCCCCTGGGATAAGAACTCCATCTCGAATGTTCAGATCACGTTCAAAGAGCCATTCGGTACTGAGGGACGTGGCGGCTACTTTGACGAGTTCGGCATCATCCGTGATATCCTACAGAACCGTACGTTCTCACTGCACTGCGGGACATCACACAGGCGCTCATCATTTGCTTGATCAGACTTGCTGCAAGTTCTCTCGGTCATCGCGATGGAACGCCCTGTTTCCTTCAGTTCTGAAGACATCCGCGACGAGAAGGTACGGCGTCTCTATTTTCCCACGCGTGCGATCCACACGAAGAGCATCGGTTGAATGTGGATACTTCAGGTCAAGGTTCTTCGCGCGATCCCGCCGATCGAGCCGAGTGACACGTTGCTAGGCCAGTATGTGTCCGCCAACGGCAAGCCTGGGTACCTCGACGATGATACAGTTCCCCACAATTCAACTTGCCCGACCTTTGCTGCGACTACGCTATGGATCAATAATCCTCGTTGGGAGGGTGTCCCATTCATCCTCAAGGCTGGCAAAGGTACGTCGTTGACGCGTCGACACGCGTTCTACTTCCGGCATCTCGCTGACGCGTGACGTCACTGCTTACAGCTTTGAATGAGGCGAAGGTCGAAGTGCGCATCCAGTTCAAGGATGTGACACAGGGTATCTTCAAGGATATCTCTCGTAACGAACTTGTCATTCGCATCCAGCCCTCCGAAGCTATCTATATGAAGCTCAATACGAAGACGCCCGGCCTGTACACGCGCGCGCTGCCCACAGAGATGGATCTCACCTACAAGCGCCGTTTCGCCGACGCGAAGATTCCCGAAGCGTATGAGAGCCTCATTCTGGATGCCATCAAGGGCGACCACTCCAACTTCGTGCGAGACGACGAGCTTGACGTTGCGTGGAAGATCTTTACGCCAATTCTTCATTGGATTGAGGGCCGCTCTGGACCGCGTCCGCAGCCGCTCAAGTACCCGTACGGTAGTCGGGGCCCCAAAGAGCTCGAAGCGTTCATCAAGAAGTACGGCTTCAAGCGCTCGACGGACACATAGTGGGCTCGTCTCAGACTCTGCTTGACCCACCTACTGACTGTGCGCAATAGCTCCTGGCCGGTGACGAGCGTCTCGAACTTGTAGGTCGCATAGAGTAAAAGCCACGATGAATCGAATCAAGTGACACTCATGCTATTGAGCCTTGTTGGATTGTGAAGCGATGTATGTGTGTATAAGGCTGTGTATTCTTGCTTCGGTAGAATGAATGATGCTGTACTTCTATCCTTCCATCTATTGACTCTGACCACATGCAACACGTTCAGAGCCTCGTGGCTAACCGAGGCCAGGACAAGGCACTCCTTCCGCCATGCAGGTAGTCACCACAAGAACGCTCTTTATATTGATCGGGCTTACTCTGACTTCTCTGGTAGACAAGAACTACCTGGGCGGATTGTGTAGTGACATGTGTAGGAGCACTTGATGTTTGCGGACGCTAAGCTCGTCCAGCGCTGACCGGTGACCGACTTTCCTTGACGAGTACCATCTCAGATGACGAGAAGATAAATATCTTCGGGGTATGTATAATACGAGCAGGTAACCCGCTGTCACGAGCGAGGTCTTGCGGCTCGGCGCGCTGGAGCTTAAAGAAACACACGTGATCGCGCATCCTGCCCAGCTGTCAGGGCACTCCAGTACTTTCTCCTAGCTATCATCAAACATTATCATTGCACCGCACTAGTGGGTGGGGCAGTGTCTATTCACATCTGGCTACACATGAAGATTTTCCGCCCTCCATGTAACTTTCTGCATCTCCGACCCAGACCCTGTTATTTGGCTATGCGTCTCAGTCTGTCGCCGAAAGACATCGTTGTTGGTCCACCGGGATCCTCACGCAATGCCGTCAAATGGTCTGTGGTCTGAAGGACTCCACTCTGCGAATTGGATGAACATTTGACCGACTGCGACCCACTCCTGTTTCTGTATGATGCACGATGTCCGGGTGCCCCTTTATCATCCACTCATCCCGATGCCCGGCGGGATATCAGCTGGGTTCTACAGCAGGTACCCCCTCGCCTTTCCTGCATACTCGTTCCACCTCCCAGTCTTGGACTACTTGCCGTATAGCATCTTCTCGATCAACGTCGCGATGCCTGCCGTCCTCGCACCCGCAAAGGCTCTCGTCACCGGCGCAAACGGCTATGTTGCTGCATGGGTCGTGCGAGCCTTCCTTGAAGAAGGTTACTCCGTCACTGGAACTGTACGCTGTACATCTAAGGGTGAACATCTCACGAAGATCTTTTCCTCCTTCGGCGATAAATTCAAGGTGAAGGTCGTTGAGGACATGACAGTTGTGAGCGCCTTGTCGTTCATCTCATCTCATTTCACTGATCTTTACATGCAGCCAGGGGCCTTTGACGATGCCGTAAAGGGCGTCGACATTGTCGCCCACACCGCTAGCCCATTCTACCTCACCGCGAAAACACCTCACGAGCTCATTGAGCCTGCCGTGCGCGGTACCGTGGGAGTCCTCGAATCCATCCAGAAGGCCGGGTGAGTGTAGTCTCTGCAATTCTTACGTGTGGATGTATGCTCATATGACTTTCAGCACTTCTGTACGCCGTGTCGTCATCACCTCCAGCGTTGCGGCCATCCTCAACCCGCCTGACTCTGGTGTCCTGGACGAGACCTCGTGGAATGTCAATCACCCGAAGGAGGTACAGGAGAAGGGAGCGGAGGCCAGTGGATCTGCAAAGGTACTTCTTTGTCGCGCTAGGAAGGAGTTTTCTTGACGGTGTCCAGTACTGCGCAAGTAAATCAATTGCAGAGCGCTCTGCCTGGGACTTCGTTCAGAAGCACCAGCCTCAATGGGACATCGTCACCATCAACCCCTCTCTCGTCCTTGGGGTAAGAGCGTCGGAAGCCTAAGGGCGGCGCATGTAAGCTGATAATATCTTCAGCCTCCCATTCATGAAGTACCCAGCCTCGACAAGCTCAACGAGTCGGTCAGGCAACTTCACGACGTCCTGTTCAAGAATATATACGACCCCGAGGCTCTCGCGACTATAAACAATAACTGGGTCGATGTCCGTGACGTCGCGAAGGCGCACATGCTTGCTGCGAAGATCCCCGCTGCTGGCGGAGAACGCTTCATCGTTAGTTATGGGAAATTTTACTGGCAAGACATCGGTAAGCATATTGCTCTAGCAAGGCACGATGAGGAAGGTGCTTATCAGTTCTCAGTCGACGCTGCCAATGATGTCGATTCATCCATCCCCCTCAAGGGAAAGTACGGCGCTACGAAGGATAAGGAAGTGTCCGCAACATTCCCGCGCGCCAAGTCAGAGCGCATCCTGGGGCTCAGATACACGGACCTGCACTCATCCATCCACGATTCCTTGGCTTTCTTTAAAGGCTTCCCGCAGTGAGATCAGGATCATTCAATGGACGCTTTACGCACTTGCTCTTCTGCCATTCAATATAATGGTGTCTCTTGGCGTAGTAATGTGGTCAAAGGGTTACAGTCTTGTGTGATCACCTGGACATTGCTCTTGCGTTTCGGACTAGATAAAAGGAGGTTCCATCTGTGAAAGTCGCGTTGCCACAAGAGTTGTAGACGAGGGCATGCAGCGCCCTCAATTTGATCGACCCGATCGAGACCTTCCTACACGTCGTTGCCGGAGGGCACAGGATACTGGGGCCCGCGAAGGAAGTTTAGCCATACCCAGTTCATCCCTTGACCCTCAACATCGTACCACCAGTTTATCGCAATGGTTATCCCACCCACCTGCCTGACATGATGCCACCAGCCGGCAGGTAGATAGAGCGTCTGCCCTGCCTGTACGGTGATGGTCATCGGATGTGCGTCTGGTGGAAGCGCGCCTTCCTCGTCTGGATACCGGATCGACGACCAGCGAACGGTGGCTGTGGCATTGTCTCCATTCTCTGGCGTCGTGGGTGTCAATGCCAAGGGCTCGCCTTCACGACCTCGCGTGTACTTGGCGTGTGGATACACGCGTTCTACATCGCATATGTTTTGGTATGGAAGTCCAAAGCGGCACAGTATTGCTACGCACCGCGCAAACACCACGCCTCGGTAGGCGGCAGAAGTGTGAACACCTTGCAACCACGCACAACGTGGTAGACATTTTCATATGGATCTAACGTCAGTAGGAGGCAGGGAGTACGTTAGCATCTTGACTATCATGCACACGCTAGAAGTCTGGCTGGTATGTATACGCCGAAGGGTGGAGTGACATACCACAATGGATGCTTGTCACGCTTCTGTAGCCACCGATCCAGAGGTTTACAGCGTCCGGCTGCCTGCCTACAACCTCATGTCGGTTTCTTCATTGATTTCATATTGACGGCAATGCCGAAGAGGAGAGAACGCACCCAGTGCCTCCGAGCACCAGGGGACCTCATAGGGGACATCTGGACGTAGCGGCGCAAGCTCTGGCAAGCCCTCTGCAGACTGGTTGGAGTACGCGTCTAGATAGAGATTGCCATTCTGGGACTGTAAGTATAGCGCCTCGCTTTGCGCGTCAGGATCTACAGAAGGCGTCGATTGCCACGGTCAGACTCTGCGCATCAGGGTGCACGTGCGCGTGTAGGTAGTCTAGTCTTACCCGTGTCCTCGTTCAATTGTGTAAGAAGCGACCGGATGGTCATGGGCTCTACATGCGGCTCGACGAAGTACTCCCGGCCGTCTGACCCGCGCGTGATTGCGTCCGCGTACCTTCGTGTGGATATTTAGAATAGAAGCAGGTCCCGGAGCTACCAGTGAAGACATACCCGTCCGGCGTGACCGCGACGGAGACCAAGCGATCACCCATTGCCCGGGATAGATAATCGTTCGTCCAGCGCTCTGTTCCCTGGACTGTGTAACCTGCACGCTGCGTTCACAAGACAGTTACGTCAGGAGAAGACGGAACCACATACTGTTAATCAGAACTGGGCGTGAGATTTGAACAAGACGTGCAAATTCGACAGGCGTCGGAGGGCTATCCAAGGTGACGAAGTGATTGCCATTCATGTCTAGAGGATAGAAGACAGGGTCGGACAAGAAAAAGATGCAGACGGCGGCGATCTCTTCGCTCACCGTAGTACTCAGCTGAGAGATATTTGAGAACTGCCCAATGAGCAGCGGGATCCGGAGGCACACTCATCGTGTACTGATGCACAGCCTTTCACGGGCAGTGGTCTTCCGGACAGCTCTTGTGGCAGATCAAAGTGCAACGTTCAACGTTCAAGACAGATGGCGGTCGACGCGTGAGCTGTACTACTACCACGCGCGCTTGACGCGACGCGACGCGTCTGAACATCAACTTTCGAGCTCACGCGCTCAACCACCACATCGCCATTCTGGCTTAGCCACTCATCATCGGTGGGGCATGTCGGAATCCAAGAAGAGAGGGAGGAAGCATAAGGCTACGACGGTGCGCGTATCTGCGGATATATAGCGTGGCATACAGCTGACTGTGCCCGAGTAGACTGACAATAGTCAGCGCACGCTATTGACACACTTTACGCGCTCCAAGACGGGCACTGTATCTAGCAGTAACCCTTTGGATGGGCCGACGTCGAGTGCGGCAGATATCGCAACGGACGCAACATCACCAGTACTCGACATCGACTCTTCCCCGGCGCTTCAGGCTGTCCCGCTGGCTTCTGTAGACAATATACCGACTGCGGAATCTGGAACGTCTAATTACAAGCAAAATGGTCTGAAGGTTGCTGCTTCGCAGTCATCTAATGGTGTGTAAGTATTGATTTGTACGGTTGAAGCCCCTAATCCGACGCAGGGGAACGTCCGAAGCGCTTATTCCCTCTCTTCCAGCGAAAGCTTGCCCCGGGTGATGGACTCTATTCGGACATCGCATCCTCAGATGTCAACGGGCGACCCTCGCCGCCTATTTCGTCGCCCGTGTCGCCTATACACGACTTGACGTCCGACAACGAGGGCTCGGAAGAAGCGCCCATAGTCATAGACTCCTCTCCTGTACAACCACCCAAGCGAGCCATGCATCGCAGTTCCTCCCTGCAGCTGCTGGACACGCCATCTCTTCCGGCGCGCAAACGACGAAAGCTGGATATGCTTCCAGATGCGCCATTCCCCGATAGATCTTCCCAACATGTACCTAGCTCTCGAAGTGTTCACACATCTTCCGCCAGTCATCTACTACCGCGACGTGCCTCGACGAACCGCGGACCTCATACACCTGAACCCGTACCACCCAAAGCGCCACAATTTCCCAGCATCAGCTTACAGTCCACGAAGGCATCCTCGGATGCTTTGGCGGACTCGCCTACGGATGTGGACCTGTCTATCTACTGCAAACTATACCCAGGCATTGCGCGCCTCTTTGACCATGCGCATTCCTCCGGTGCTGTAGACAACGGACAGCAGCAGACTTGGGCAGAGAAGTGGCGCCCGCGACGGGCTGAGGAGGTGCTGGGCAACGAGTGGGCGGCATGCTATCTCCGCGACTGGATGGATGCACTTCGACTGCATTATACTGCACCGCCCACCACTACGCCACCAGGCAGTCAGCCGTCGGGGGATCAAAGCAAGGGGAAGGGTGGGAAGAAGGGTGTAAGCAGGGACGGCTCATTGCGCGGTTCGCAAGGACCTCGAGGATCGCAAGCTCGAGGGACGAAGCGCAAAGCAGTCGGACCGACGGTCGTACGCGAAGTGGCGCGGAAACCGAAGAAAACGCGCAGGGATCTCGACGATTTCATGGTGTCGGACGACGACGACGACGGGCTGACGGACGCTACCGAGTCCGCGTATACTGGCGTGGACTTCGGCGATGATAATCAACTTGGTATGGAGAGGGGAGGGTCGTTCGCAGTGGATCCTAGTGCGCCGCCAGAAGGCGTTGCTCCTGTACCCAGCACACCTTTCGTGTTCGGAGGCGCTATACGAAACACGATGTTACTCGTTGGTCCGCCGGGAAGCGGGAAGACGGCGGCGGTATATGCTTGTGCAGAGGAACTGGGTTGGACAGTGTTCGAGGTGCATCCTGGTATAGGGAGGCGAGGAGCAGCGCAACTCGATGCGCTCGTGGGGGACGTCGGGAAGAATCACACCCTGGCGCCTGCTACAACGCAATCGACTGCAACAAACGTATTCTCTATGCTCTCGCGAGAAAATAAACCACAGAACGACTCTATAGCTGAGACCGAGCCGTCTATCGTGAAGGTTGCGCCCACACAGTCTGTGATACTGTTCGAGGAGGTGGATGTTATGTTTGGCGAAGACGCGAGCTTCTGGAGCGCATTGATCGCCTTCATCAAAGAGAGCCGACGACCCGTCGTGCTGACATGTAATGGTGAATACATCCTATGTCCATCCTTCTCGAGGTCTTTCTGACTGGTTTCGGATAGACGTCTCGCTCGTGCCCACGATGGACCTGCCACTTGAGCGCGTAGTCCACTTCAAGCGCCCGAGTGCGGCCCTGGCGCATGCGGTGGTGCGTGGCGTGTGCGTGGCTGAAGGACGGCGTGTTCCTCGCGCGGCAGCCATGCTTTCAACGCGCGTGGGAGGGGTGGACTTGCGGCAAGCGCTGCACCAAAGCCAGCTTGGTTTCGGGCTCCTAGATCACGCCCATGTTGATGGTGAAGTTGGAGGTGATCGGAGTAGGGGCCATCATGGCATGCTCGTGGATCACACCCTGTTCGAGCCTGCCGATACTATCGAAGGGCAACATCCTCGCCTGGAGGCCTTAAGGCAGGCGGAGCGTCAAGCCGACGGGGCGTGCTTCGTCGACGCTTACCTTGCGCGTCCGGATCAGAGCGCGCTAACGATGCTCGAGCTGGCGGAACCGCATGCGGACGACGAGGTAGGGTTGCACTCTATCTGCATCGCGAGGCGCCACACTGCGCCAGTGGGGGATGCGTTTTATTCGGCTCATGAAGAAGTGGCGCGAGCGGTAGGATGGAGCGAGGAGGGCGAGGGGAGCGAGGAGAATGGGGAGAGATACATTGACAGGCTGGTGACGGTGCTTGAGAAGAGCCGGGTGCCTGGGGATAGATTGGCGGATAGGAAGGGGCTCGTGCTGGACTACGGACCGTGGTTGCGAGAGATTGGGAAAGTGGAAGAGGCGGATGCAGCCGCAGCTGCGGTCGCTGAGACCGCGTCTGGGCGACGAGGGTTACGCGGGCGACAGACAATGAACAGCACTGGGCGGAGGGCGGTGGTGGGGGAGCGATGGGGGGAGTTGGAGGCTACCGGGCTTGAATTTGGCATGATTTAATTAGACCAAGTATATCAAGGGATGCGTACGTAGGAGAGCATGCGATTGATTGTTCACCTTTTGACCTTGAGTACATCCCGTATGCCGGAGGAGACGACGAGCCGGAAGCGACGAGGGTCGCTCGCCAGTATCTTGGAGGACTCTCATCCGTCGAGCAGTGTAAATCGTTATTGGATATCGGCTTGTCCTACGCGCTCACCATCCTGGGCAGTCCCGGGTCGCGCCTCCGGTCCCAGTACCCGTATTTGCGAACAGTGGCCGCGGGCAACGGTCGAGGACACCCGGGCGAGGGGCGATGAACTCGCGTCCGACCAGTCCATTGAAGTTTGGGGACGCGCCGCCCGACGCGTCCGCCGCCCGCTGTGCGTCTTGGTTCCCATCACCATCTCAGCCTCATCCGATGCTCACCCTCGACTTCCTAGATGGCTCGGCGTCGGGTAGAGGGCGCGGTGCGTGCACATGTCCATTAATGATTATTATATGCTGAGACGCGTGTCTACGACCGCAGACTCTATCGGACCTCCGCCCTCGGCGACGGCCAGCCCAGGCTCGGACACGCGTCCAGGCGGAAGTCCCGGCAGCAGTGGGTATAAACTCGCGACTTTCCGACCCAAACCTGACGGAAAACGTGCAGATTCGACAAAAGCACAAGGCGGCCACGCGCCCAACCTGCCAGTGCGCGCGACGGGATCCCCATCACTCTCCACCGGCTCGGCGGGCACCAAGCGCAAACTCGCCCACGCTCAGCAGGACGACATCGATCCCCAGCTGATTGGCCCCGGCGTCCAGGGCGCCCACGACCACGAGGGTCCCGCCCAGAAGCGTCGCGGCTCCCTGCAGGCTCAGCGCGGCGTAGAGCAGCCCCCGCCCGCCGGCCCGCCAGCCTGGTGGGCCGGTCCGGGACAGCCGCCACTGGCGATGCCTGGCCATGACGGCGCACCCCCGCCAGGCGCCCCGCCGCCGTTTCCCTGGCCCCCGCACTTTGACCACACCGCCGGGCCCCCTCGCGACGCCGACGGCCGCCCAATTGACCCCGCCTCGTTTGGAATGATCCCACCCCC